TGGAGATTCCCCAGCTTCTCTGGGCAACTCATTCCAGTTTTTAGTTTTCAGAGTGAGAAAAACCCAAGTGTGCTTCCTAATGTTCAGGTGGAACTTCCTGTGTTTAAGTTTGTGCCCAGTGGCTCTTGTCCTGTCCTCTGGACACCACTGCGAAGAGCCTGGCTGTGCATTTACACCCTCCATTTGTATGCTTGCATATATTGATAATACCTCCCCATGAACCTTCTCTTCTCCAGGCTAATCAGCACCAGCTCTCTTGGCCTTTGCACACATAGAATAGTTAGGGTTGGAAAGCATCTTAAGATCATCCAGTTTCACCCCCCTTGCTCCAGTCCCTTAATCAGTTTAGTGGCCCTTTGCTTATTCCTGTAGCTCCATCTCTCTTGTCCTGGAAAGCCCAGAACTGAGTAGAGGGGAAGGATCACCTCTCTTGACCTGCTGGTATCACTCCTAATGCAGCCTAGGATATTGTTAGCTGCCTTTGCTACGTGGGATGCTGTTCTTCACTCACGTTCAACTTTGTGTTCACCAAGACCCTTGGGTCCTCTTCTGCCAAACTGCCTAAGTGTTGGGTGACCCTTACCATGTCATGGGGCATGGGTTTGTTCTTCCCCAGGTACAAGACTTTGCACATCTTCCTGTTGAACCTCATGAGATTTATTCAGCCCATGTCTCCAGGCTGAGATGTTCCTCTGGAGGGCAGTATGACCCTCTGGTGTACCCCTGCTCCTCCCCATTTTGTGTCATCAGCAAACATACATGTCATTAATAAAGATGTAAAACAGAGTTGGAGACAGCATTGACCCCTCATGTATACCGCTAGTTCCTGGCCTCAGTCACACTTCTCATGATGCTCTGAGCTTGTCTCTTCAGCCAAGTTTCAGTCCAGCTCACTGCCTGCCCATACTTCATGGATCCTCTACAAGGTTCTTATTGGAGACAGTGAAAGCCTTACTCAGATCCAAGCAGACAACATCCCCAGCTCTCCCCTCATCTGTCAAGCCATTTGTTTAATCACAGAAGGTTACCAGGTTGCTCAAGCACAGTATCTGCTCCATCACCCTGTCCCAAGGATCGGAGGGCAGCTGACTGCCCTGTACTTCCTGAGGTCTTCCCTCTTGCACTTCAAGACAGGAGTGATGTTTGCTTTGCTTCAGGGTTTGGGCACCTCTCCCAGTTGCCAGGGTTTGTCAAAGATAGTGCAGAATGGCCTTACTGTGGGGTTAGCCAGCTCCCTCAGCTCTCACGGGTGCATCCCATCGGGGTTCATGGATTTATGTACATCTGGGTTGCTTAAGTATTCTCTGACCTCATCCTCCTCCACTAAGGGTACGTCTTCCTTGCTCCCAGGGTTCCCCTGTGTGATTCAGCAATCGGCCCACGTGTGACACAGCTCTTCAGGTTGGGCATTTGGGGCGGTTGTTACAAGTGCAGGAATGGAAGTAGCTTCATTTTGTTAGGGAGGTGGTACAACAATTCATCAGCAGCTTTCAGCAAGGGGTTCTTGGCCATGTGGAAGTCCAGAAGCTTTGGGGTGTGCGTGTTATCAGTGGGGCTGTGGTCTGACGGCGGTGCCACCACCGTGTGCATGGCTGTAACTGCTGTCCTGTCCTCTGCAGAGACCCCCGCATCGCCCCACCACACAGAGCAAACCACCCCCCTCTGAGACAACGCCGCTCCTACACGACGCTGCCGCGCTGAGCCAGGACGATGCGGAAGCCTGAGCCCTGGCACGTTTCCCACTGGGACATGTCCATGCTGGGTGAGACCTGCTGTGGATCCTGAGAGCTCTCCAAAGTGAAGTCATCCTGAGCAGCTCAGCAGAGACCCCGCACACTGTGGCAAAGGCACAAGACATCACTGCTGCACCAGCACTCCCGCACCGGGGCACTGGAGATGTCATCCAGACACTCAGTACAGTGTCCAAGAACCCTTGTCCCCAAGGGGCTGGCCTTTGCTGCAGCCCCTCTCTTCCTTTGGGAATGGAGACGGTCGTTGGTTGATCCAAGAATTATTTTGCAATTTAAAACTGCCTCTTGCTAGGAATAAAAGGTACTTTAATGGGAGCCTTTTAAGTCAATCAGGTTTGTATATGTAGCACTGATGGGATTTAGTGATGGTTTTAAAAGCCACCGTTTATCTCATGCGGATGGGGCTTGCTATCCTGAAGCCACTTACGGTTTTATTGCCACTTGATGTGACTGGACTATGCCACAAATCAATTCTGGGTGCTGTCACTTTGCTGATGGCTCTTCCCAGGGTACCTGGAGCCTGCTTGGGGTTGCTCCGGCCTTTGCATATGTTGGAGAGTACAGTGGTGACTTCTAAAACCCCAGTTCTGTGCCATGACCTTGTGTTCTAACAGTTCCAGCCCACAGCCCATTTACTTGGCCTCTTCTTGCTTTAGATGGCTGTGTGAGATGAACGTTGCCAAAGCCTCTGGTCCATCTGACCTCTCAGTGCTGCGTGGTCACTGCATTGCTCTGGCCTTGCTGCCTGCACATGGGAAGGGAGCAGGCAGAAGCTTGGCCTTTAACAGAGATATCCTTGATCATTAACAAAGGTATTTGTGGTTTTGAGATGGAGGAAGCGATATGCAATCATGAAAGCAGTGATGGCCTTAGGTGTTGAAAATGCTGCAGATATCTGAAGTGATGTCCTGGGGGATCTGGGGCTGGATGTTAACTGGAGGTGGGTGAGCTGGACTCACTCTTCAGTGGGAAAGAAGCCCAAAGCCCAAGGACATTCATGGCTAGCTACCCATCAGTAGTTGTCCACCACTCCTGTCTTCCCTGCTTCCAACCAGGAGCCGGGGTAGCCCTTGGGAAAACCAAAGGGGCCAGTGCTGGTGCCTCTGGCAAGGAGGGAATAGTGCAGGGAGTCTCTGGTCCCTCTTGGAGCAGAGAACTTGTTGCGTAGTGTGTGGTGTGGATGCTGTCATGGTCTGGAAACTGATAATTGTCTAAGACAGCTCTGTAAGCTTCTAGTGGGTAAGCCATACTTTTCCTCTTACACTTCTGTCCCTCTTACTGGGCAGGAAGAGCACAGGGAGCTAAAACCAATGCCAGCAGTTCCTGTGCTGGTGCATTCCCTGCAGGCCATGTCCTACAGCTGGGCTTAGGCTGTCTGATCATGGGAGCAGTTGTGATACAGCGCAGGTCATGAAGGGGAATGAAGGGCAGCAGCTGCCCAGAACTTGGTCTGAGGCTGAACTTGCCTAGATGCCCAAAGCACGTCTCACAGGTACAGCGGGAATAGCCATACCTGCATTATTTCTGTGACATGAGTCCTCGCTGAGCGTGATGCTTAAACTGCAGCTATAAACTCTCTCTGCCTTTGAACCCCAAATGTCCCACCTGCAAACAGTGCCTCACAACATACACCCTCAGCACACGGTTGTGAAGTGGGAGCAGGTCAGAGGCACAGCCTCAGACCAGGCGCTGTGGGACACTCAACCCATCAACACGGATAAGACTGGGCAGCGTTCAGCAAAGCTAACAGTAGATCAAAGATAACCATCCTTGGGCTCACCTGCTTGAGGCTGTAACGATGTGCTGGTGCTAACTGCTGCTGTACGGGTGAAAACAAATAAAATACTGACCTACTGCTCCTAGTGCGAGCTTTGGCGGGTTGTTTCTTTCTTTGGTCGTTGTCTTTGTTGCAGGAGCCCTTGTTTTAAGCCCCGTTCTGCACGTTGCGGTGGGGCCGGGGGGTTCTGGTGGGATGTAGGGGGGGTGCAGTGTCGCGGCGCGGCCACCGGAGGGCGCCATGGTGCCGCGGACTCGCCGGGCGGCAGCGCGGTCGGGGCTGGGGGTGTCCCGGGGGTACCGGCGCATCACGAAGGCGCCCCCCGGGATGCGAGGCCTTTGTCTCTCCCCTGACCCCTCCTTGCAGGGCTGGACCGACGGACACAGCTCCCCCCTCTCGTCCTCCCTCGCCCCGAGCACTGGCGGCGCTGCAATTACCGGCTCGCAGCGCTCCAATTCCGCCTCCTGAGCTTCCGTCACCTTGCGGGCTGCTTGTGAAGTTGCCACCTCATGTTAAAGTGCTTCTCATAACCCCCAAGTCGTCTCCTGGCCCTAACTCGTCCTGCATTGCTAATTCCGTTTGCCTTCGTACGTGGTGTTTGGGGCTGGTGCAGTCAGCACCCCTGGTGCATCAAACCCCACTGCAGAGGGGCTGGCACAGCACCTCCATGCCCTCCTCTGCACCAACCCGGTTGAAGCCATTTACATTCCCCACCTCTTTTTTATTTTCCCCCACTGTGACAGAGCTGCCACCAGCTCCTCTGGAAAACACACCAGGGATAACAGCCCTCCCCGTGTGCACTTGGTTAGGGTGCTTTTATAATGGGGTATAAATGCTGCACAGGAGCTGTTCCTATTGAATCATAGCATCCCAGACTGGTTTGTGTTGGAGGGCAACTCAAAGCTCATCCAGTTCCAACCCCTGCCATGGGCAGGGACCCCTTCCACTGGAGCAGCTTGCTCCAAGCCCCTGTGTCCAACCTGGCCTTGAGCACTGCCAGGGATGGGGCAGCCACAGCTTCTCTGGGCACCCTGTGCCAGGGCCTCAGCACCCTCACAGGGAAGAGCTTCTTCCCGTCTAACCCCAGTTTCCCCTCTGGCAGGTTAAAGCCATTCCCCCTTGTCCTGTCACTACCTGTCCTTGTAAAAAGTCCCTCTCTGCCCATGCTCCTGTTGATGCAGCCCAGGACACGATTTGTTTCTGGGCTGCAAACACACACTGCAGGCTCATGCTGAGCTTTTCATTAGCAAACACCCTCAAGTCCTCCTCAGGGCTGCTCCAGCCCTATCCCCCCTTCCCTGCAGCACCCCAGCCCAGCCCAGCCATCCTCTGTTGCTGCAGGCTGGGAACAGGGCTCAGACCCTCCTCCACCAGCCCTGTATTATCTCCTTCACCTGGATCCCAGTGCTCCCAGGTGCCCATCACTGATTGTGCTGGCTTAAAACCCCTGGGTGTGAGCCCCACTGAGTCTTTGTTCTGTTCTGCTCCTCCTTGTTGCACCCAGGTTTGCTCCTGAGCACACGGAAGCTGTGACTCTGGTCCCTTGTGTGCAGGACTCCTACAGCAGTGACAGACCCTCCAGTGATGCAGGCCGGTGAGTGCTGCTGCTGTTGTGGAGGCGGTGGGCAGGCGCGTTTCCTGGGGCAGAGCTTAAAAACACCCAAAGCACAAAACCCAAGCGACCACCCAGGGCCATGTGTGGTGGATGCTGTTCTGGTTACAGGGGTGACGCCGTGGTGTTGGATGAAGGAGCGGTTTTCTCCCTGGCAGCTACAGGGGACCAAGATTTACATGCATGCATCTGCCAGTGTGGGACTGCAGGGCCCAAAGTCCCAGCAAGAGGTGCAGGGAGGGGATTAAGCGGATTGTGGCACTTGATTTCTCTTGTGTTTGGCCACAAAGGAGGAAATAGATGGGAGGAGGACAAGGAGCTCATGTGAGTTTTGGAGGAGAGCCTGCATGGCTTGCGCATCCCTGAGCACTGCAGGGTTTGCCTGTGCTGGTTGAGTTTAATCCTGTTCTGGGTGGGGATCTCTGCTGTGTCGCATCGTGGTGCAGGACTTGGGCCCTTGATGGGTCCATGCAACTTAAACCAGCATCCTAGTGTGTGAGCTGGGTTCAGCCTGAACCCCCCATAGTGCATGCATGGGGCCCTGCCCTGGTCTGAGCCCTTTCCCATCTGGACACTGAGCACAAAGTGATGCCCGCTCCGCAGTGCTGGCGCCAGCGGTGCCCCGCAGCCCTGGCCCTCAGCTGCCCTCTGTGCTTGGCCAGCCCAGCTCTGCGCAGCCCCATCTGCTGCCTTGGCTGCCGACCAGCCTGCCCGAGCGCTGCCCGCATCCCTGCCCTCGCAGCACACAGGGGGGCAGTGCTGGGTGACCCCAGCATCACCCCAGCGTGAGCCGTGCCGTGGGTGCCCCCTCCACGCGTCCCAGTGCGTTGAGACCTGGGTCAAACGGGTTATTGTTGCAGGGAGGAAATGAGGGCTGCGGGGCTTTGGCAGCAAAGCCTGCTCCCAAGCGTGTGTTGGATGTTGGCATTGAACTTTATGGTGTTCAATGCCTCATTTAAGGAGTGTGATTAAATGTCCTTCTACCTCCTGCTCCTGAGGACATGGGAGCTTCATTTTATCGCCTGGCTAGTCAGCAGAGGCAGGGCTGGACCGTTTCTGGATAAAAGCCTGTGTGTGCACAAGCTCCTCCACCCAGTGCTGTCACAAACTATCCTGCCCTTCAAAAAGGGAAGGAAAAAACACAATGTACTCCTTGTTTTGAGCAGTTCCTTTTACTGAGGTGCTGCTGTGTCCTGGCAGTGAGAGCCACAGCTATAGCCCATTGGGATGCTCTCTTTGGGATGATCCATCCTTACTGCCGCGGGCATGAGGCTCCCCAAGTCACCCTGCCATCACCTTCCCATGGCAGTTCCCGTGTTGAGCCTTAGCTCTGTTGGGGCAAACCAGCCCATGGCCTCATATTGAGCCCCTGTTTCCCATGTGCATCCATGTGGGATGAGGCTGTGGGGCTCGGAGCGGTGACGCGCAGCGGGCGTGGAGCCAGGGCTCCTCGTGCTCAGTGGCTCCCTGGGAGCACTCTTTCTGTGGAGCAAGAGAAACAATTCCTAAAAAGGAGCAGTCAGATGGAAAATTGATACCAAATGGTGCTATCAGTCCCTGGGGAGGCAGGTTTGATCCCTGCGCCCGTGGTGCTGGGGTCAGGAGGCAGCACACAGTGCTATTTTAGAGGGATTTTATAATCATTTATTTTAAAGTCTATTATTTCCCCCTTTTGGAAGTTCACGAGTTTCCCAGACAAGAGCTGGCTTCAGATTTGATGCTGATAGCACAGGCTGATGCTTTGGGTGCCTGTGATGTCTGCAGGATGAAGGGGGTCTGGGGAGCTGTGCCTGGCCCTGCTCCAGCTCTAAGGCCAGGGACCATCCCCAGCACCTGGTACTGGACCAAGGGCTTTGCCAGCCCCATGTGGTCACTGTCCCCAGGTAGAGGCACTCCTCATCAGGCCATAGCCACCCTGGGGCTCTCTGCCTGGTTCCCTTTCTGCTTCACTGCTCACCCCTGTGCCTGCAGATGCTGTTGTTGAGCACCATTTCTTGGGGTACCCCGCTGGATTTGTGGGCCTAATAACCTTGCTTGTGGCTGCACTGCTCTGTTAAAACCCCACCTCCCTACACAGACCCATAGAATCATACACGGCCCGGCTGCTTTCTGCCTTTTCCATCTGAACCAGTTTCTGGACTGGTTCATGTAGGAAATTGCCTGCTGAGGCCCTGGTGCCATGGGCAGGAGGTGCAAGCCGTGGGGCTGCGATGTCCTGCTGCATGTAGTGCTGAGCAGGAGGCACTGCATGGGGCTGGCAGCCGCTGTGGGGGGAGCTGAGCTTCCAGGGAAGGCATTTCCAGCGGCTGCAGATCCCATCCCCAAAGACAGCATTTCAAGGAATTACCCTCTCCCTCCCTCCCCGCTGCAGACTTCCTCTGCTTTTCCAAGTACATCTCTGGCCTGGGGCCAGAGCGGAGCAGATCCATGGGAACACTGGGGGCTGGAGGTCGGTGCTGGCCAGGTTCGCAGTGCACGGCTCTTATCAAGTGCCCCAATTAAGATGCTGAGCCCCCGTCTCTTCCTGTCTCCCTTGGGAGCACCACGTTTCCAGTGCTCTGAATGCCACAAGGAGCAGTGAAACTGCCTTCAGTGCCAACACAAATAAATGGCAATTAGGGATAGTTCTCTTTTGAGCACTGTTCTAGCAAAGAGCATTTCCTGGTGTTGGTAGCTCAGTCCCCTTGCTTGTGGGACTCTGGCAGGGTTCTCCAGATCCAGATGTGCACAGGGGAGATGCCCTACGGGATCTGTCCCACCTGCATCCCTGATAACCATTTAGCTTGTGTGACCCCATGGGGATACAGAGACTGAGATGCAGTCCCTGTCTGTCTGCAGAGAGCTCTTCCCTCTTCTCTAGAAGATGCTCTGTGCACAGCATTATCCTCCACGCCCTGGTAGGGAGATAGATGCGGGGCTCTGGATGAGGTCCTGAGGAGGTGATTCCCTGTCCCAGCAGCCAGGGCTGAAGGCAGGGGTCACATTCCCTCTCCCTGCCATCCCCAGAGACATACCTGTGGATTTTCTTTAGCCCATAAATACTCCCCTGCCCTCCCCCGTGCCCTCAGCAAATAAATCATCTGAAGCTGCATTTCCCTGTTTCAAAGCCCTGTGAAAGAAGCCAGAGGGTTTCTCAGCCCTGCCTGGCTGGAGCAGCTCACATACCATCCACCCATTCCCATTTGATCTACTTCATCCTGTGTTAAGTAATCCTTGAAAGCCGCAGTGGGTTGCAGGCCCTCCGCATGCCTGTAAATCACTGGGGCATGTCACCCGCTGTACATGAGCGTGTCCCACCCCTTAGGCTGAACTGACCCCCCCCTGCCCCACAGAGACACCAGCCTTGTGAAATCAGAAACGCAGCTTGCAGGGCTGGGACTGTCACAGGCAGTGGGGTGGGAGCGTGCCTGGGAGGTGCGTATCCATGCAGGACTCAAGCAGAGGGCTCTCCTTGAGGGCAGCTCCCCAGGGATGCACGCTGGGGGTGGTTTTGTTGTCCTCCAGCTGCCTGTATGTGCCTTGGTCTGGATGCTCCTGTCTCACCCCTACCTGCATCCCCCAGGGCCTCCCTCTGTCACCCATTAACCAGGCAGCTAAATGCAGTCATGGCCACACGCGTCTTCTGCACCTCTCACACTGCTCTATTTACTTGCCATCACTGGAAGTCTCCTGGGACAGAGCAGGAGCCCTGCCCCATGCAGCATCCCTGCCTCACCCCCTTGGCCTTGCTGTGCAATAGGGTTTTAAGTCATAGAGCCATGCGCAGCCAGGCTACGGGCTCTTCCCCTTGTAGTAAATCAAAGATCTTTCCCCTCTTCCCCATTGCCTCCCCCCGAAGGTCGCTGTTGCTTTGCTGTGGTCTGACTTTAATGACAAAACAAGAGCAGCTGGAGCAGGCTCTAGGTGCTGCTCAATTGTCTTTCCAGGAAAGGTTTCAGCACAGAAAGTTGAGCGCAGCAGCGATCGATTCTCCTGGTGCCTTGTGCATTAGCTCAGCCTGACGCAAGCCCTGTGCCAGGTCCTACATTCAGCACACTGGGTGGCATCCACCCAAAAGCTGCTGCCAGCCCCAGGGTACTTTTCCCTGGCTAACTGAAGCCTCAAGGGCTCGGAGCTCCCCTGCCTGCGGCAGGATGGGTTTTAGCTGGGGAGAACGAATTCCAGGGGAGGATGCTGAAATAAAGCAGATGGGATGATTCTGGAGGTCAGAGCGAGGGAGAGGGTGCCCTGCCAGGCACCATGTGATGAAAACATCCTTCCTGCTCCAGCAGCTGTCAAAGGCCCAAGCAGATGAGGCGAGGTGCCCAATGAGTGTGCAGGGATCTCATTTACCTGGTAATTAATGGAAATCGTGAAACAAATCAGCACACGCTCCCTGCGGAGAGCTTCATGCGCTGCTTTCAAAGCGCTGGTGGAGATTGGGGAATGGCTTGAGTGTGAGAGCAGGAAGTGCTGCTGTGAAGCTGAAGCAGGGCTTGGTCCCCACCACCCCACCACTGGTGGAGCTCCTAGTTATTTGAGGGGTGTCCTTACCTACCAGCATGCTCCCCCTTAATGTATGCCTGTGGGATCCCCAACCCTGCCAGTGCTGTTAGGGCACTGCTAATTGCTCTGTCCCATAGCACACAGGGGACTTGTGGCACTGCCTGCAACCAGCAAAGATGCCTTGGCTTAAGGCTGCGGAGTAGGAATGAAGATGTTAGGATGGGCCCCATCATCTCCCTCTGATCCTGCTCGGCTGAACATGTCACAGCTGATTTTCCTGGTCCAGCCCTGCTGTTGGTGCGAGCAACCAGAGCTGCCCTTTTGTCTCCTGCTGTAGAGGAAGCTCATCCCAGTACCAAAGGCTGTGCCACATTCTCTTGCAAGTGAATGAAGCTGGCTCGGTTTGGATGTTAAACCCACTGCTCTCTGGTGTTTTCCTCTTTCCAGAGCAGTGCTGTGCTGCTCTGCAGTGCTCTCGGGGGGGAGGCAGGCACGCT